GTCTCTCAAAATCTTTACCATTTCCACATCTCCTAGCCTCTTTTTTAATTCCCTAGATACTGCTATCGTACTTAAACTTACTTATGACAGAATTGTTCTTTGTGGCGATTTTAATATTCATGTTGATGACCCCAACAATGTTAATGCAACTGACTTTTTAAATATGGCCACTTCTTTTAACTTCAAACAACATGTCAAAGGGCAAACACATAACCGTGGTCATACACTGGACTTGGTTTTTACCCTGGGTGTCAGCATTTCCTCTGTGGAATTAGTGGACATGACCATATCTGACCACAGATGTATTGTTTTTAGCTGCGATTCGCCTGTTACTCATGCCGCCTCACCAAGCTCCGTGTGTTCTCGCATCTTTAATGAACAAAGTGTTTCAAAGTTTTGCGCATTCGTTCAGAGCCAAAGCCAACACCTGTCTGATTCCAACACCAACAATCTGGTCGATCACTTCAATCATATCTGCTTGTCGTCACTAAATATTACTGCTCCTCTAAAGGTTAGGCCTCCGTCTAAAGCTAGTAAGCAACCCTGGATAAATGACAGCATTCGCAGCCTCAAAAGGGAATGCAGGAAAGCAGAGCGCAGATGGAAAAAATCCAGTCTCCAAGTCCATTACCTCAGTCTGAAGGATTTATTAATTAACTACAATAACATGGTTAAGGATGCGAGAACACACTATTTTTCTGAACTCATTACTGCACAAACACAATCCCAGGTTTCTGTTTAAGACTGTGGATCAGCTGGTAAACCCAACCCCTCCTTGTGCCTCAGCTGGAAGTAATGATGACTGTGAATTGTTTTTATTTATTTTACCAATAAGGTGGTGTCAATCAGAGCCTCTATTACCCCCGCGGCCTCTTACTCAGAGGTTCCTCACCAGCAACAACAGAGTTTTAACCAGTTTTATCCCATCAACTTGTCTGAGCTTTTAAAAACAGTATCACAAATGAGAGTGTCCTCCAGCCCACTTGATGTAATACCTACAAAATCTTTACTGAAAATAATGGATTCTGTTGGGCCCCATTTGATCTCTGTTTTCAACAGCTCCCTATCTACTGGTTGTGTCCCTGATTATTTTAAAACGGCTTGCGTGAACCCACTTTTAAAGAAACCTGGTTTAGATCCCTCCCTCCCGCATAATTTTAGACCAATTTCAAAACTGCCTTTTATTGCAAAGATTCTAGAAAGAATTGTGTCCAAACAGCTGCTCACTGTACTGGAAAATAACAAATCATTTGAAAAGTTTCAGTCTGGTTTTAGGAAGTACCACAGCACTGAGACTGCCCTGCTTAAAGTCACCAATGACCTTTTAATGTCTGCTGATGAAGGCATGTGCTCAGTCCTGGTACTCCTGGACCTTAGCGCTGCTTTTGACACCATTGATCACAACATCATGTTAGACAGACTGAGGCACTGGGTGGGGATCTCTGGTACTGCCCTAGAATGGTTTTCATCCTACCTGTCAAATAGGAAGTTTTGCGTGTCTGTAAACAACTATGTCTCTTCGTTCTGTCCAGTTAAATATGGTGTGCCTCAGGGGTCGGTCTTTCGAGCAGCACACCACAAAGCTTGTTCAATCATGTTTTTATCAACTTAGAAATATAGCTAAAATTCGATCTATGTTAACTTTTAAGGACACCGAGACCATTTTACACGCCTTCATCTCATCACGCCTGGATTATTGCAACAGCCTTTTCACCTGTTTAACCAAAAAATCTATTGATCGACTCCAGACTGTCCAGAACTCAGCTGCCAGGCTTTTAACCAGAACAAAGAAATATGACCACATTACTCCTGTTTTAGCTTCATTACACTGGCTCCCAGTATGTTTTAGAATTGACTTTAAAATTCTATTGATCACTTTTAAAGCTCTTCATGGCCTCTCGCCTTGTTATATTTCTGACCTTTTAGTCCCATACACACCAGCACGTACCTTGAGATCCTCGGGCAGAGGTCTGTTGTCTGTTCCAGAGTCTCGACTGAAAACTAAAGGGGACAGAGCGTTTGCTGTCAGGGCCCCGAGGCTCTGGAACAGCCTGCCCGAGGAAATCAGGTCGGCTGAGTCAGTGAACTCTTTTAAGTCCCTTCTTAAAACATACTTTTATAGGAGAGCTTTTCCCGATCTTATTTGACTTTATTTTATCCCTTTTATTTTATTGTATTTTACTAATTTTATAATAAATTTTCATGCTCTTATCTTTTTTTTTGTATTCTTTACACTTGTTAAAGCACTTTGTAACTTGTTTTTGAAAAGTGCTCTACAAATAAGGATTATTATTATTATTATTATTAAACCCACATGCTCGTCTTCTTTTCTAAACTTGAGGATGATTTTAAATTCCTCTCCCACAGCCCTTTTCCGCACAAACCCACTGCCTTCATCGGAGCTGTTCTCTTCCAAACTACGTTTACTTCCTTGACTCAAAATCCACCCTACATCTCCTCTCCTATTAACCCCCATTCCTTGTCCTCTCCTGTTAACAACTGGAGTCCAGTCGCCAAAATCCATTTCCCCATCTTCCTCTACTTCCTGAGTCGCCATTCTAGTCCAGTCACAAACCAGTTTATGCCAACCGTCAAGTCCCGCACGTTTTTTCAATCAATCACACTCCGCATCAGACATGATTAAACGATTGAAATGTGGACAACAATCATGTAGGCCTTTAGAAAACATGCGACACAATGCAAATGTGGTGCTGAAAAGTTAAGGGAGAAAAAACAAAGAGTTTGCTCGAGCCAGGTGCGGCAAAGTGCCTCAGTATTGTGTTTATTTTGTGCTGTTCTTTTTGTACCTGAAGACAGCAGTGGGGACTCCTGCACGGTCTAGGAGGAGATGTCATAAAATGTGTTTGTCAAAAAGATTTTTCTAGCAGGACCTTAATAATGCGAGAGGATTTTTTGTAGAGCACATTGAGGTGGAGCTGTGTGAGAAATTTCAAGTCAATCGGACTTAACAGTGTGAAGGACGAGGCCTTTCAAAAACCTTTCATGCTTATTTACAGCGCCACCAGATTTCTGTGGAAACCCATGCACACAATCTCCAGTTTTGTCCTGCAGACCAGAAATAAAAAAAACAAAAGCGTGCTACCGGTTTGCAGTTTGAACCCCAGGTGTAGAAGTAAATGTAACTGCACAGGACAGAATACAGACAGCCATATAGCTGTTCTCAAACTCTTTACATCATGGGCCCCTAATTGGACACAAAGTACAGCACACAGGCCTGTTAGATAAGATTTTGTCCCAGGAACCCCATCTGAACGGATTTTTGCTGTTAGATTTTTTATATAAACAAACAAACTAGCCTCCTGTAGTTCTGTTGCATGGAATATGTGAAAATAAAAGTGAACCCTGTTTTACTGGAGGCCCCCTCAAGTACCCTTGGGGGTTCCCGGTCCACCCTTTTCAGAATCAGTGGAGTAGGCTATGGGGCCACGCCTTCTTGGAGCTTTAAGCTGCACCTCATGATGACGTGGTGATCATGTGACGTGAGATGTGGTTGAGAGGCGGGTGGTGATGGTGCAATGGATAAGATGCATACCTTCGGTGTGAGAGACCAGGGTTCAATTCCCCACATCTGCCATTGTGTCCCTGAGCAAACACTTAACCCCTCGTTCTCCTCTGACATATATAGCAATTGTAAGTCGCTTTGGATAAAAGCATCAGATGAATAAATGTAAAAAGGAGTTAAACACGTGTCTGGACTTCTGCTGCTTTCTCTTCTGAGCATCTGATTCGTCCTGAGAAGAAGAAGGTGAAACGTCTGTGAGCTCGTCAGGTCAGTGAAACCTTTTACTGTCTCAGGAGACAAAATCATTTAGGTAGAAAATGGATGTTGATGGTGTTCAGCAGCGCTGATTGTATTTTAAATCAGGAGGCAGTTGATTAATCTTAACATGTTTTAATAAATTTACTAGATGTGCTGTTTGTTGTGCACGTGAGTTGAAGTTGCATTAATCTGAACAGCTGCAACAGAGCAAAGAGACCACCAGGTGGCAGCAGGAGAAAACAAACTTCAGGCTTGTGAAGACAAAACATTCAGACTTGTAATTAAAACTTCAGATTGAGATCACAACAACGGGACTATATTCTATTAATCTATAATCATCTTTATAATAGAAATATTATAGAAACCATAGATTCAATGGGAGAAGTAAAGTATTGCATGTAGCTTGGACAGCATCCTCTTTGATCCAGAATTTATTTTTGAAAAAGTAGGTGGTGTTGAATTCCAATGCAGTTTGGACATAAATATGATCCCTGCTGCTCTATCCAGTTATCATGAACAAGCATTATTGTCCTGGTTAATTATTTACTAACATAACTTTCCTCCCCATAAATATTAATTGGGAATAAAAAAGGGAATAATAAAACTTTTTAGTGACATAATTGCAAAATGAAAATGGACTCTTGTTTTCTTATACAGAATTCCAGTTAAAAGATTTTCTAGTGGTTTTGATGCAATGCCTTCTGGTCTTTTGAGATTAATACAAGGAAGGAGCACGTTTAACTTCCACAGCTTAAAGGTCACAGATAAGAAATGTACCAGTAATTTTCTAAGGAGACTGTCGGAGCCCACAACTCCTGCCAAGAATAGAAAATATTAAATGGAAGTCAGTTTGGAATGTAAATAAGAAATATTCTGTGGCACTAGCAGAATTAGAAAAGTTTGATCTGAAATTATTCATTTGATTTATGCTGTAAACCAGGTGATCTCAAGGTTCGTGAACGATGCTGTGAAACAGTGAGGCTGAAACCATTTGTCATTTATTTTATTGATTGTGTTTGTGCCAAATTATTTTGGGTAGATTTGGAATTTCTCTTTAAGCACTGACTGGTTCAACTATTATTTTGCAGGAAAGACACATTATATTTTTTTATGACAAGAATGATATTAATTGTGAAAGAAGATTTTGAACCTCTTTATGTTGTATTAAAATTATAAATTCAAAAGTGCAAATGGTTGAAGAAGAAACCACAATTACCACTTTTTAAGATAGAAATTAAGCATTACATTAAAACTTTATTTGGTTTAAAGAATGAAAAAGCATCAAAACAGTTAAAATATGCAAAGATCATTTAGAGACAAGATGTATCACTCCACAGCTAAAACGAAGCCTTCAACACAGGCTGAAAAGAGGAGCTGCAGCAATGTGCAGTATCACAAAAATATAATGATGTAAACGTGTTCTGGTACAACCTCTAAATAGGATTATGAACGTGAAAATGAGCAGAATATCACCTCTTTAATGGCATCGCAGCTCAACGTTGTTAATGAGAATTGATCCAAAGAAGAGTCTCAACAAGCAGGTGAGTTTTTACCCTCTGAGGGCCGCACAGCGACGCATGCTGCCCCGAACACACCTGCTGTTTCTACATTCTACTTATTGATCACACAGACTCGGAGCCGGAGACACAGTTTGTTAAAGTCAGCTGTTCTGACGGGAAAAGAAAAGAAAGGATCATCAGACAGTCGCTCTGTAAAAATATCCAAAGTGCTGCAACATATCAGTTATCTGATAAACTGATAACTGTGCAGCTGTTACTGAATCTGATTCTTAGGGAGGAAAATGATGAACATGTGGGATTATTTAGGACCAAACTGTGTTCTCTGGAGACATCAGCTGTACCACAGGTTTCTGAGGAAATCTGCTCCACAGGGTTTTATTGAAAGACGACTTTACTTTCACTAAATTTACAGCAGTTTGATAAACTCTCATTATTTACATCCTTAAAACTCAGGAAGTCTTTAATTCACTGGTTCTCTGTCAGATCAGATATGACAACTTCATGTTAAACACATCAGCAGAAACAACACAATGAAAACTACATTTAGTCATCACCATCATCATCTTCTTCATCTTCATCATCATCAGTAGCAGCAGCAGCAGCATCTTCTACAGTCACACAGACCTTCGCTGGTAAAACCTTCAGTGGGAGTTCATCCAAAGTGCCAATATATGGAAACATCCTGTCAGTGAAAGTGTGTGTGAAGGTGTGTATGTGTGTGTTAGTATCAGGATCAGAGAACGACAGCTTTCCTCTGTTCCAGTCCAGAGTCACTCTGATCCTCTGGAGCTTCTTCTGCACACTGAGATCAGTGAGTTGAGCTGATGGTGACTTTGCAAAGTATTTACCTATAAAGAACCTTATTGTCCATAATCCAGACTGTATGACTCGCTTCCTCTGGACAGACTCTGCTAACACACCCAGTAACCAGTATGTTCTGTCTCCAACCTCGACATCCCAGCTGTGAGTCCCTGAGTTAAAGCCCTCAGAGCCCAGGACAGAGAGGTAACTATCAATCCTCTCTGGATTGTCAGGAAGCTGCTGTTTCTCTCCTCGTCTCACACTGGTCAGATCTTCAGACAGGATCAGTTCTGGATCAGCAGTGTTTGGGTCCAGAATGAGAGGAGAGTAGGAGACCATGTCCTTCATCTTGTTCCAGATGTTGAAGGTCAGGTTGCCCAGGTGTTTGGCCTGGTCTATCAGAGCTCCTGAGGGCAGCTGTGGATCATCCAGCAGGGGGCGCTGCTGGACTCTTTCCACTGCAGCCTTGTAGTTGAGCAGGAATGAGACGTCTTCAGCTCTCAGCTCCTCCTCTGTGGCTCTGACTGTGTCTGAAAGAGCTGCTATCTCTCTGCTCAGAGCCTCCATCTTCTCCTTCATCATCTGACTCTTCTGCTCCTCTTCCTCCCTCAGTGCAGCCATCCTGGCCTCCTCTTCCTCCTCTAGAAACTGCTGAAGCTTCTTAAACTGCTCCTTAATCTGCCTCTCTGTGTGTCGGGCCTGGACCTTCATGTGTTCTGCTGTTTGATCAAACTCCACTTTAACTCGTTCACAAACCTTTAACTTCTCCTTTAAGGCCTCCAGAGTTTCCTGAAGTTCCTTCTTGTGTTGTCGTGCAGCTTCATCGACGGGTCTGAATCTGTGGTTGCTGTGTTTTTCTGAGTCTCTGCAGATGTGACACACTGGCTGCTGATGGTCCAGACAGAAGAGTTTGAGTTTCTCAGAGTGCAGACTGCAGAGAGCCTCTGAAGCTCTCTGATCTCTCTCCTGTAGGAAACTCTCACACAGGCTCTTTAAAGCCAGATTAGGAGGCATGAAGCTCTTTGAATGTCTCCTCTTACAAACTGGACAGTCCCGACTTCCTCTCTCTGTCCACCAGCTCTGCAGACAGCCTTTACAGAAGCTGTGGCAACATGACAGGATGACAGGATCTTTAAAGATGTCCTGGCAGACAGGACAGCAGAGATCTTCCTCTAATCTGGAAGCCATTTAGTCTCTGAGTGAAGCTGAAGTCACAGCAGCAGACGCTCAGACAGGAAACAGTCAGCCACTCCCTCCTTCAGTAACGGCCCTGAAAGTTACCTTCACTTTGAGTCTTTGTTCTCGTCAAACTCTTGTTCAGTTTGTGGATTCAGCAGCAGGTTGAAGTGCTCGTATTCCCAGTGTTCCCAGTATTCCCAGTATCCCTCCTGTAGTTGTCCTCTCTCAGTGGAAGTGCTGGTTCTGGTCTGAAGGGGAGTCTTACCGTCTGACTCTCAGTGTGTCTCGTCTCAGTGAGGCAGAATAACAACCTGTTTCCTGGTTTGTCTCAGGTGAGTCAGGTGAGGGGCGGAGTCTCTTCAGAGTATGAACACACAGGATTGGCTCTTATTTTTCCATCTGCAGTAACAGTAAAATGTCCAGATAATCCTGTCTTGTTAGTAGATTGTGACGGAGCTCAGCTGACTGGAACACATGGGAATTATGACTTTAGAACATTTTGAAATGAGAAAAGTTCAAATAGAGAGTTTAAAGAAATGAATGTGTAGTTGTGTGGTTGTTCTTTTCTTAGTGTAACACTGTTCTGGCTGCATTTCCCGACAACAACGGAAGGCAGCGTTGAACTTTTTCACGCTCTGTTTTGTCCTTTTACCTTCTAAATGAAATAATTGCGAAACAGGTGGATAATCTGTGAGAGAAACAGCTGCTGTTTGTAGATGCTCTACACTACTTAGTACTAAAACAATGCAGCCCTAACAGTGAACTGAAATATACATTAAAAAGTACTTTTACAACTACATTTTCAAAAAACTTCACATGATATCTGTTTGTACAGCAAGATTATGGAACACTCATGTGACACACTGATGAAGTCTCTAAAAAGCCGGAAAACCCTTTACTTTGGAAGGACGCAGCTCTTAATCTAAACTTTTTTTTTACGAATACTAAACACAACTTTGAAAGATCATTTTTTTCACATGAAGTTATTAATATAAATTTACAGATATCAGCAATAAAAAGAGCTACAGCTCTCACACTAATAATAAATAAGCGAAGACAACTAAAGTGGGAGAGTTACAGCTGTCACACTAAATACTGATTAAAACATGTGGACCTTCCATAAGACCCACAAAAGGAGGAAGCAAAAGAAGCAAATAAATTTAATGTTGGTCAGAGCCTGATCAGTTGCTCCTTGGGTCCAGCTCAGATTCACTTGTAATTGTATTGAATTCTCAGTAAACTCTACTGGATTCATGTGTTTCATTGGAAGGAATTTATAGGTGTGTGAGAGGACCTGAAGGCATTTGGCCCAGCCAAGGTTTTTTTTTACCCACAGTAAAAGGCTAACTTAATGAATGTTTTCACTCTCCAATCACATCCCAGCTCACATGAAATGTCACAAAAATATAAACCATGCAGTTTAAAACATGAACCCATAGCAGCACTGAGACTAAACACCCACAAAGGTACATCATGACTGTGTCAGCAAAAATATTTTATGCAGGCTTTTGCACAAAAGAAGTAGTTGAGCAGGAAGTAGTTGAGTAGATACCGTCAGGTGTGGAGAGGAGCCAGGTGCCTGGAACGTCAACAACACAAAGACACACAAGGGAGGAGGGAACAGAGAACAAACACAGGAGAACCAGTCTTTTCTCATTCCCAGGGCATCAAATACCAACGCTTTGTCACGCCCTTTGGTGTCTGGTACCAACGCACATGCCATCCTTACCTGTCATAGTTCAACGTACTGGGCAAAGGCCTTTAGCATCAATGTTGAACACTAAAAGTAGGCTTAGTGTAGTGTTGGGGTGGATGGGTAGGTCAGAATCTGGACTTTCACCCAGGAAAACTGTGTTCTTTTCCTTCTTTTCCCGTGTGAAACAATGTCAGTGTTGATCTTTGTAGTTTTCGTAAGTGACATTACTTATGTAACTTAACTCATGTAAGTAACGTAGTCATAGTAACCCAAACTATGATCTTCTCCTAAACCTAACAGTTGTTTTGTTACCTAAACCTAACCAAACTGCAACTTTTCACAATGTTAACCACTAGTTTTACTTTGAAAGTCTAACCAGATGTTACATATTTATTCTTGCAAACTTGACCTACACGTGCAAACTCTATGCTAAAGGGTTCTCATGGCTTTAAAAGCAATGCTACGGGGTCTTGACAGCAGAGATGAGGGTGACAGCACAAAGGATTTAAAGCCAGCACAGTCCAAAGCACCAGTATATGGTAAGGCTGATGATGTCTTAAATATTTTTTGTACTAAAGGGCTCAGCTGAGCTGATTTCTTTACTTTAGTTAAAGAGGTGTTTGTAGTTTTGAAAATGTATTATAATGGCTCATTTAGTGATGTACTCTACTTGCATAAAATTCTCAAGAATGCAGGAATAAAGGTCTCTGAAGACCCAGAGGCCCCGACAAACTCCTGGCCTCCTTTTGGCCCCTGTCCATCCTTGATCTTAAAAACTTGCATCCTGAGGCGTGTATGTGTCTCTGCTGCGTGTCCATAAACAGTTTAAAATGTTCACACAGAGACGAGCATCCTGCAGTGTTTCAAAAGGAAGAGCACAGAGGTCACAGGAGCAGGAGTAGAAAGAACTGAGGAGGACGAGCTTGTAGGTTTTATTGAGAGCTAGTAGACATACTGTATAGTATCTTCTAATATTCACAGAGTAAAATTACTTTGTTAGGCCAACGGCATGTCATCAGAGTTTGCATTGAAGTCAGTTCTGTGCTCATAAACATTTGTGACATTTTGTAGACGTGAGATAAAGTGAGCACAGAACAGGGAGAGTCATATATCACCGACAAGTGTAACATTAGGAGAACTGAATACATTTGTACTGTGGCTACATTAACTAGCAGCTCTTCTGTGGTTTTTATGGTTTTTTATTTTATCATGGTTTTTATTATGTGAAGATATAAAGTTTTAATGGCTGGGCTAAGCCCCCTGGTCAACACAGAGTTCAGTGGTCAGGGCCCCGTTTCAGAAAGCGGGATTAGTGAAAATTCTGAGTACAGTTCAGCCTGACATGAGGGAAACTCTGTGTTTTCTGTTTCAAAGAGCGAGATCAGATAAACTCTAGATCTGTAACAACTGATCCTCAGGAGGAGGTTAGGTTCACAGGATAAGCTGGAAAACCATCAGTTTCTCTCTGACTCCTCCTGCGGTGGCTGTCTGACACGCCGTTTAATTCCTCATTCATTCTGTCAATATCAAAGCACATATCTGAACACATTTACATCTTTAAAAACTTTTAAATCTCAGTTAGATAGGTGTTGCTCTCAGGAGGAGGTTGCATCGGCACAAAGACATCCTGACTCTGGCTAAATTTACATCTGTCCACTGCAGAGGCTCTAAAACAAAACCTGGAGGAGCCTCTGCTGGTTGAGCTCCCACATAGCAACACGGCCTATAAATATGTTACGAAAATAAAATATGAATTAAATAATAGAAACTTAAATAAACAGGCTAACTGCTATCCTAAGCTACAAATAACATCAGCTCACTTGGCTTCATCTGAAGTTACAGGTCTTAGAAATGTTTAGTTCTCCCTAACAGCCAGAGAAATTATTATTTAAGTTTTAATTTTTATTTCAGTGAACTAAAGTGTTTTTTCACACCCAGTGTTAGTTTAGTTTTACTAAAAACGTTATTTTAGTTTTACTAAAAATATTATTTTAGTTTGCTTGCTAATCACACAGTAGATGGGCTACTTTTATTTTGAAGGTTTTATAAAGGTTTTAAACAGACCACGTGACATCCGGTTTTTGGTTTATAACGATAAAATAATTACCTAAAATTCATAGACTCACTTCATTATTTGTTCAAAAAGGAATAACAATAAAATGAACTGCGAAAAACGGAATTCTTTTGATGGTTTTTCGTTTTTTGATTCTGACACCAAAAACGATTATTTCGTTTTTCATTTTGAAACAAAAAACAGATAACCGATATTTTTTAATAATAATTTAATTAATAGATGTACAGGTGAAGCTGCAGGTGTACCAGTCCTCAGTCTGTCCTGTGGTCCCTGCTGGACTTGAACCAGCTTCCCTCTGGATTCTAAGCTGAGTCTCTACAGACTGAACTGCTGTGGCCTTGAACATCAGCTGCTCCCAGAACAGAGAGGCTCCTGAGGGTCTGTCTGTGAACACACCTGTGTGTGCAGGTGTGATGGGCGGAGTCAGGTAATCAGGTCTGACTTGTTGCCGTGGAGACAGTCAGACAGGCTGTTGCGTTGCTGTGACTTCATCTCCTCCCTCAGTTGAAGCTGAATGAACCCGTGTGAAGTTCCAGCTCCAGTAGAACCGTTCTAAAGGTAAACCTGAACCTGCTGAGCCGTCATGTGTGTGTGACGCTCCACATGAACCGGGTTCTCACACGATAGGGGAGAGATTTTGGACAAATGTAGAATAACTTCCGTATAATTTCACTATAATGGCACATTGTTACTGTCGACCCCGTCAGCTGGAACAAAAGTAACACAACAATACAAGCTAGATTTTTTGTGTTACCACCCTTGTATTTAATAAATAAACATGACTGTGACCTTGTTAATGTGTAACTGCAAACATCTTTTGTCCTTTATCTTAAAAACAAGAATCAAATTACTATTATTTTTATTTTAAGTATTCAGTTTCAAAAGTAACCTGACAGCCCAAACTTGAATTCTTTAGAATATTTCATATTATATTAAGGATATTATAAATATATGATATAAACCTAAAACAGAGGGGAAATGGTTAGATGGACATTGTTTATGAACCTGACATGATTAACGTAAAATAAGACTTTACTGATCTGCACTGGGAATATTTGCATGTTGTTTCAGAAACAGTGAAAAAATGAAACATAATTTAGAAAGATAATAAAATAAAAATAAACAATAAAATTAAGATAACAATTAAAAAGCTATTTACAGAATAGGCCTATACAAATTTCACATTTTGAAATGAATTTAAAATTGTTTTAGTAAGAACACTATGAGTGATCTGCATTCTGAGAGCTTTTTACTGACACCTACTACGTCAGCCGTTCTCTTAATATAAGCATGCAGCTTCCTCTGCTAGTCCAAGGAGAAGACTTCATAATGTGATCTGTACCTGTTGTCTAGTCTCCTCTCCAATTATCTCTGCCCTCCTCCTGCATTATCTGAACAAAGCCACTTTATCAGCTGACCTGAGACTAATGTTTCTCATAGAGATGTCCAGAAATATCTGGCTGAATCAGACCTCTGTCTTTCTGACCCAAGTTATTGGCATATTCTGTTGGTATAATATGACATAAACATGTTTTAATAAATGCTGCAACACAAAGAAAAGTCACCACATTAGCAGCGGGACAAAAGAAACACTTGTGGTCACTGTAGACAGGAACTCCTGACGTATCAACACGATTTATTTTTACACTGAAAAACTCTGACAGGGCAAACTTCAGGTGTGTTAAAGCA